ACTACTACTACTACTACTACTACTACTACTACTACTACTACTACTACTACTACCACTACTACTACTACTTCTACAATAATATCACCACAACTGCAAAGATAACCTCAAAACCACGACCATTATCAGGTTGGCAATGCAACAACATAAAAACTACTTGATTTCTTTAAGTTACGAGTAAAATCAAAGAGACTAAAGAGGTACATGTGTCTGTCTCCTATTTAATGTTGGACACGTTAGTCAGACGAAAAATGAAGGGGGTTGATTACAGGGTGCTCCAAATACAACAAAACTTTACAACTTTCATTGTAAATATTTTCCACCACACTGAAGCTTTGCGTTTCACATTTGAACTCAATATTAGGAATAATTTGGGTGATATTCATTTTAGATAATTCATTAAAACAGTTTTGCTCCACAAAGCAAATAAAAAACAATCCATTTTCGGTTGTTGTTGTTGTTGTTGTTGTTGTTGTTGTTGTTGTTGTTATTGCTGTTGTTGTTGTTGTTGTCGTTGTTGCTGTTGTTTCGTTTTTGTTGTTTTGGTGTATATTTTGTTTGTTTTAGTAAGAGTTTCACGGTACTTGCAACACAATTACTTTACTTTTACTTTTTACTTTTTCATCCTCTGTTGCCGTTAAGCGTCAAGGGGAGATGCAGTTTTTCTATGGTAGGCCAGCTCCGCAGCTCTTTCAGTTGTGATGTTATGTTTTCTTAAGGTTTCCTTGACACCCTCGATCCACCTTTTGCGTGGCCTTCCTCTTCCTTTATAGCCTGAATGCTTGGTGTTGTAGGCTCTCAAGGCTGACTGGTCAGGTGACATGCGTAACAGGTGGCCAATCCATTTTATCCTCTGTCTTTCTATGTAACGCAGGCAGGACTCAGTGCCGATAGCTGCTCTTACTTTTTCATTTCTCTGCCTGTCTTGTGATTTTAAGGGCTTATCGGAGACATTTCATTTCGCATGCAGTAACACAATAAGGCTATATAAGTCCCGAAGACTAGAGGTGATTCAAGAGAGTAACAAATACAAAAAAGAAAGAGGGGTGATTAGGACGATAGATGTTTGATAGGAAAGAAAGAACTAACCACACCAGAGAACCCGCCAACCATCCACAACCCATTTTCAACCTTGTCCCCATTTGTGTGGCATGGGGCACCAGTTCACAGCAGGGCTACCGCTAAAAGTCTCAACGACCACACCACAATAATAGTATTATTGCAAGCTACAGTAGTCAAACAGGCCATCAGAAGTTTACAGATTCTAAGGTTGTTGTTGGTTTTTTTCAAGTTACCTGTGTAGGAGTAGAGAGTTATTTGTGTTAAATAAATACCTTGCCATCAGCTCATTTCTTACGTTTCGCACAAGAAATGGAAATAATGCTAAAGTGCCCTCAAGACCTTCTTTTACGTCATAGGTAGAGATGTACGCTCAGTTTGGATTTATGGTGAATCAAAACTAAATATTTTCAGAAAACTACCTCTTCAGGTCGAACATGCACCACGCACACCCCTTTAAACATAATTAGGGTGCATAATTCAGTAGCCGAGTCCCATGAGACGTCTGACAGCAGACTATGTCTGAAGCTTGAACTTTCCTACAACTCAACGTTCCGCATTCTCAAGGCAGATCTTCACTTAGGAAGTACCATCTTCCACAGAGCCTCGGTAGCGCAGTAGGTAGCGAGTAGCGAGTCAGTCTCATAATCACCATTTTCTTGTTCGCGGGGTTGACATGGATCAGGGCATGGCAATATGTTCGTGTTCCTTCGATTGTCTTGAAAAGCATGAACACTTCCTCAAGGACAATTGGTTCGGTGGCAAAGCATATTTTCACTTTTCAGGATATTAACTGCACAGATGTTGTGTATTGAGCACCCACCCAACCCCTTTATTGTCTCTAGAAGCCACTCCATACTGTAAGGTGTACCGGGTGTGTGGCTTTAAAGCTCTTATGGCTTGGCGTGTCCTTATGTTTGGCCACCACCGAACATCACGAATGACGCATTAAAAATGTGTTGAGATCAAAAGAGGAGGGGTCAAGCACTTATTCTAGGATTTCCAGAACATATATATATGTATAGGGGGGGGGGGCATGGGTTAGTGATTGAGGTATTGGAGGAGGCGTGTGAGGTTTGGGAAGGGGGCGGGGAGGTGGAGAAAGGAACAAATGCGTTAATGCTTAGTGAAATATATATATATATAATTTTAACTGTAAGAGAACTGAAATAGTGTTTAAATGTTACAGGAGCGGCCAAATTAAATGCTAAAAGAAAAGGAAGAAAGAAAAGCAAATCAATCGTTTCGTGACTTTCCTTAAAATATTTTGTTTTAATTGGCGCATCTTGCGTTTATGGGTGTTTTTTAAAGCTGTTTCTGTTTTCCAAAATAAGTTTGCCCTTTCTGAATTCTATGCCAAACAAATTCCCTTTGAATGAATTACGGGTGTTCCAAATAACAACACTCTAGAACAATTCTTGTGCAAAATATTCAGAGAAAAAAAGAGAAAAAAAATCCTTTTATTGTTGTTGTCATTTTGAACCACCCTGTGTAATGAAAAAAGAGGCATCAAGAAAAAAACAAAACAGCAGTAATAAAAACAATGAAAATACGAGAAGAATGATAAGAGTACTTCAGGAGTAACTAGTTTACACAACCAGGATGAATAACATGGACATGACATAACAAAATATAGCTTATTAAATGCTGTGGAAAAGTTTATGTTGCGGCATTGTTTCAGTATGCTCTTCTACTCCATGCACATTTGACTTGTTTCATCACAGTCTCACATTTTAGTTGTAGCTCAACCTAATCCTACCACCTTTCACTTGTATCATTACATATTCAAGTTGTATGATACCTGTACCCTCAACTGGTCCAACCACTTTTCCCTTGTATCATCTTGTACTTTAGTTGTATGATCCCTTCATACTGAGTTAGTCCAAACATATTTTTTCACTATGATTCATCATGTGTTTCAGTTGCTTCATACTCATACTTCCTCGCCGTACAGGTCCAACCACAGTCTAATCGAACAAGTATCAGTTCGAAACCAGTCTAGTGTCATTAAAAGGGTACAAGTCATCAGATCATGTTCTCCCAGGACGTTTCAGTTCTCGGTCCAGTTGTGTTCACCATTTATTCTCAACCACTTGTCAAGAAAATAGATGAGTATGACTTAAAGTGTCACTTCTATGCTGACGGTACCCAAATTTATGGTCCAATCATGACTACAAACTTGTGCGTGGTGTTGACAGTTGTATTGTCTCAGTGAAAAACTTGATGAACAAAACCTCATTGATGTTGAATGATGATAAAACAAAAATCATTCTGACATGTAGTGCAAAGTCCATAAATGAGACTGACAACCATCATATTCAAATTGGTGATTTCGAAATTGCGTTTTCAGGAAAATCTTAAAATCTTAGTATTTTGATTCCATTAGCATTATCAGCTGAGGTAATCTGATCATCTGCATGAAATTGGGAAATGGGGAAAATCAGTAAAATACGTATTCTAATCAATACTAAGTAAACTGCTTCATTGCCAAATAGTTTCATGTTATCAAGGCTTAATTATTGAAACCTGTTGTTACATGCATCAAGAATGTCTGTGGAACAAGTGGAAAGACTTCAAACAGTTCAGAACAATGCTGAGCATTCAGTTAAACATAAAATAAAACTAGACGCTTCACCTCTTTTACTGACATTTCACTGGTTTCCTGTTGAGAAAAGAATCATGTAGAAGTCGAGTTCTCTATGTTCTAAATTATGCGTGAATTATTTTGCGCCATCGTATTTATCAAATCTATTCAAACTGTATATTCAACTCACACCTGCTGACAAAAAAGAAGTTTCTTATACCATCTTTGAAACATAAAATAATGGGTGAAAGGGCGTTTGTATATAACAAGGCTAGGATCAGAAATGCAATATAAATGTCATGTTATATTATTATAGTGGCAAACGACCCTGTGTAGTTTAGTTGCATGATCTCGGTAAGAAATACTGGTCCAACCAATTGTCACCAGTATCATCAAGTACTGCAGTTGCATGTTCCCTGCCCACTCAGCCAGTCCAAACAAAACACTCCACTTGTACCATCCCCTATTTTAGGTGCATGATCCTTGCCTGCTCAACTAGTCCAAACATATTTCATTATGACATGTCGTTGTTACTGTTGCTGTTGTTGTTGTTGTTGTTGTTGTTGTTGTTGTTGTTGTTGTTGTTGTTGTTGTTGCTGTTGCTGCTGTTGTTGTTGTTTTTGTTATCGATCCATAATGACATATTATATTGTACACTCTGCTAGTTCACTCTTATTTCACCAGCATCAAATAGTCCTAACATATTCCAAATATATCATATATGTTCATATTTTATACTCTACTAGCTCACCCAGCTCCAACCAGTCCAAACATAATATTTCATTATTATATTGTACACTCTGTTAGTTCACCCTTATTTCACTAGTATCAAATAGAAATCAAGCACATTTCGGCGGTATGTCATAATATTATTATTATCCTTTTTTACACTCGACTAGCTCACCCAGCTTCAACTAGTCCAAACGTATTCCATTATTATATTGTACACTGTGCTAGTTCACCCCTATCTCACCAGCTTCAGCCAGTCTAAACTTAATTGATTATTATTAATTTGTACCCTCTACTAGTTCACTCTCATTTCGCAAGCATCACTTAACCCTATCCGTACGTCGTGTTTTACTATCGTATCCCTACGACGTGGGGGACTCTGTGCCACCACTTTCCAAAAGAGGAAATTCACTCGTTAAACCAATCCGTACGCTTTGCATAGCAGTCTGTTAAAGTGATTTTTTGAGAAATACTGACAGTTTTAAAGAGATCTTCGTATTAGAAGTATTCTAAAATGTGAAGAAAACAGCCCCGGGGGTAAAAAGTGACCCCTGGGCGTACGGATAGGGTTAATCAAAACACATTCCTTTATTACATCGTACACTCCGCAAGTCGACCCCCCCC